AGAGTTGGTAACATTGGTAAAATGTTACATCACCTTGAATGACACAGCCTCTGATAGAAGAAAATATTCAAGATTGGTAATGCTGTTTAAAATAGAACAGGAAAAAAGTTGCAATATCTAAGAACAACAAACTATTTCCACAAAAAAGACATACATTCTTTTTTATATATACAAGACATTCAAATTTGAACAATTTAGAAGTTGTGCATGCAGATTCAATAGAGGCATTCAAGACAGCACTACAGAACCACCACCAATAACAACAGTGCTTTCTCCACTGTGTATAAAAGCCTAAATAGGATATACATGTACCCATACAGATACACTACATTACTTACAAGTAAACATTTTTCTCATAAGATTTTTTGTGATATGAGTTGCTGGACCTTCAAGCGGTATTGTGTCCATTAGCTCCCAAAACATGTTCACATCCTACTTGTTCGCATCCCACACATTTGCACCCTATTTTTTATTCAGATACAGGTTGAATTATTACATGTATTAAATGTATTTTCAGATGCATACATGTATATATATCAAAATATTTTCATGAATAAAAATTAGTTTATCATGTTTATTTAAATGATTATTTTTTTGGGCCAATTTTTTTGTAATAATGGTCCACTATTCCCTGTTCTGTAAACCCTATCCAGACCCTCATGGTCATGCACCTAATAAAAATGTGCTTTGAAGCCCTTTTTTGTTTATTCGTTGTTGTCGTAGCAATGTCACTGTAACTAGTTTGTTAGCCGTTTCGTATCCTCCGCCTTTCTTTTACAAGTCTTAGTCAAATGCCTTTTATGATTTTATTTCTTTTCCAAGTCTTAGAGACAAATGGCTTGGCCTTTGATTATCATGACAATATTCATTATTCATTTCGTCAAAATAATTCACATAATAAAACCTGTTTATTAATGTCACTTTATTTTTTAGTCCGAGATTACTTTGACATCCAACGGCTGTTTTGCCAGACAAGCTGGGGCTGTGGGAGAAGTCCCAAGATTGTCTGGCACCGTGGGAGACGTCCCCAGCTTGTCTGGCAAAACAGCCTTTGGATGTCAGAGTAATCTCCGATTATCTATTTTTTAACAATAAAAACAGTTTTTATCTTTATTTTATAGCAATACACTAACTAAAGCATGAAAAAAAATTATTCAAAACATAACCTTTAAAAAGGATGCAAAGGTGAAAAGGGGCTAACGTGAATGGGAGCAAACCCTGATTTTGGGCGAACCGACCTGTATTCCCTTCAAACATTATCATTGAATAATTTTTTAACAGCAAATTTATGGTTTTATGAAGGTGGATTGTAGATTTCAAAGACCTGATTCTACAATCCCAATACTAAATAAAACTGCCTTTCAAGACCTCATAATTATTTGAATGAAATCATGTCATGGCCACAGTTTACATGACATGTTTTAGGCTTCTTCTTCTTCTTCTTCTTCCTTTATAGTACAGGCCTCCCATGGGAGTATTATCGTACTGTTTTATGTACATGTTCGATGTGAGAACAAATGTGCGGGTAAGTGCGAATTATCTACAGTGAAAATGGTGCTTCTTTAAAATAACGATAAAAACAAGGTTGTACATCTATCGAAGCTGGACCACTTGCACACCCCTTTTGAATGATTCAAGGGTTGTACAGCTTACTAAGTGTTGTGGCAGTCCATTCCAGATTCTGATGGTATCTGGGAAAAACGAGTATCGATATACTTGAGTCCTGGCAAAAGGAACGAGGAATCGTTCTTTGTGTCCTCTTACTGTTGATGTTACTGGCTGTAGATTTGTAGTTGGTATGGCAATCAGTTCGTGCACTACTCTATAAAACATGATGACCTTACATTGAGCTCTCCTTTCCTGTAGCGTCTTCCAGTTTAGTGCCTGTAGCATTGATGTTACGCTACTTGTTCTTCTGTAATCATTAAGTACAAATCGTGCGCATCTGCGTTGTATAGCTTCTAATTTGTTTATGTTGTCCTTAGTAGATGGATCCCAGATGGTGCTAGAGTATTCCATGAGTGGTCTTACAAGCGTTTGATAACATAAAGCTTTAGTTTTACTAGGACAGTTTTTGATGTTCCTTTGAAGAAAAGCTCGGGTGGAGTTAGCTTTCTTTGCGATGTTGTCAATGTGTTTGTTCCAACTCAATGTTTTGTGTATGGAGACGCCAAGATATTTCGCAGAGTCAACCTCTTCTAGGATATGGCCGTGGATGTTATAGTTTGCCTTAACTGTTTTTCGCTTTGTTGTTACTCTTAGGAGTTGACATTTTTGGGGGTGGAATTCCATCTGCCAGTCTGCCTCCCATTGTTGTAGTCCATCCAGGTCGTTTTGAAGGGTGTTCACATCTGTTTCGTTTCTTATTTGTCGGTAGAGAAAGCAGTCGTCTGCGAAAAGTCTAACATTTGAAGATGACACATACTCTGGGAGGTCATTTATAAAAATAAGAAACATCAGCGGGCCAAGCACGCTACCCTGTGGGACTCCAGACTGCACTGGCGAGGTTTCTGACGATTCTCCTTCCAGGAGTACACATTGCTGTCTGTCATCCAGAAAGTTTCTCAGCCATTTTATTGTTGTCCCTCTAATGCCATAATGGTCGATCTTGTACAGTAGACGCTCATGTGGGACTTTGTCGAAGGCCTTTGAAAAGTCTAAGAGAATTAGATCTACTTGCTCTTTATTGTCGATGTTTTTTGCTAGGTCTTGAATTGTGAGAATCAGTTGGGATTCACAGGACCGTTCTTTTCTAAAACCATGTTGAGCATCAGTCAAGATGGAGTGACTTTCTAGGTGTTTGATAATATTGGTACAGATGATATGCTCCAATAGTTTACATAATATTGCAGTTAGTGAGACAGGTCGGTAGTTTGATGCTTGGCTACGATCCCCTTTCTTAAATATTGGTACGACATTCGCATTTTTCCAATCAGATGGTAATGTGCCTTGGTTGACTGAGGCTTGAAAAAAGGTGGTAAGTATTGGTGATATTTCAGAAGCTATTGATTTCAATAATCTTGTAGAGATTTCATCTGGCCCTGATGCTTTATGTATGTTAAGATTTGACAGTAGTTTGTGTATTCCGTTTTCCCAATTAGTGATGTTTTCCATGTGTGGGTACGGGTTGGTTTTCATTTTCTTTATGGTAGTCTTGTCTTCATTGTTGTTAAATACCGAAGAGAACTGATTGTTGAGTATATTTGCCTTCATTTTGTTATCCGAGTATGTGAGCCCGTCTGTGTTTCTAAGTGGTGCAACTCCTCCATTTTCGCATCTTTTATTCTTTATGAAGCTCCAGAACTTCTTAGGATTGGATTTCTGCTCTGGGCTTATGATGTCGTGGATGTATGTAGAATAAGCTTTCTTACATTCTTTTTGTGAGCTCTTTTTGATAGTTTTGTATCTCTTAAGGTCTTTAGTTGATTTTGTTGTTCGAGCTTTTTTAAAAGCTTTCTTTTTCCTTCGTGTGATACGTTTTATTGTACCATTTATCCAAGGTTGGTGGAATCTTGTTGAAGACATTTTTGATGGTACGTTTTTATCCTGGATGTTTTTAAGTCCTGATTTTATGAACTCCCACATCTCTGATATTGAGCTCTGTGCGTTGTATAAGCCATGGAATATTTTGGATAGTTCCTGTGCTTCTGATTTCATCTTTTCTATGTCGGCTCTCTTCCAGATGTAAATTTTTCTTTGTGTTGGTTTTGGGTGCATTGCTAAGGCATTACTATCAATAAAGACGATGTCGTGGTCTCCTATTCCAGGAATAGGCTCACATCTATTTACTAAGGATGGTCTGTTTGTGAGGAAAATATCGAGTGTTGCTGATCCTCTTGTGGGGAATGTTACCACTTGATCTAGACAGCAGTTATTTACCATATCTACAAACCTATTATTGATTTGTGTAGAATATTGGTTGCCACTTACTGAATTTGATTTCCAGTCAATATCAGGAAGGTTTACGTCTCCTCCTAGCCATAATATTGATGAATTATTTTCTTTAAATATTTCTTCTGCTGTGTTACTCATTTTATCCATGTAGGTGATATCACTACTTGGTGGTCTATAGAGACATCCTACTATGATAGATTTACTGTCAGGTGTTGTTACTCTAATGTATAGTGATTCTGTGTCCCATTGTATGGGTAGTTCTTCGCTGATGATGATATCTCTTACAGCTATCAATACACCCCCGTATCCATCTATACGATCTTTTCTATATACTGAGTATTGTGGTGGAAATATCTCAGAGCTTAATATGTCCGGTCTTAGCCAGGGTTCAGTCCCTAATATTATTTCGGGATTGGAAGTGTCTATCATGTTCAGTAATTCTTCTTTTTTATTTTTTATGCTCTGAAAGTTCACAACAACAATTTTAGTGTTATTGCCTTTCTTATTTTGCTTCTGTTTGTCATTTTTTCTTTTTTGCTTAGGTGATGATGAGTATGCTGGTGGTCCTGGACTTGATATTGATGTTTCACAGCTGGATAACGATTGGAACGAGTTGTAAGTTGAGTCGATGATGAAGGACTCAAATAATGATGACGAAAAATTCGGCATTCCACAATTAACACAGTGCCATGAAATGTTGGAATTTTATGTGTAAAATGAATGCTTGTTGCAGAGAAGGCTTTAGCAAATAAATAAAAGGAAGAACCAAGCAAGTGTCATCAATGCATATTTTGTTAAAAATAATATAATCATGAAAATCATTAATACCTTAATTGGTAAATATACCTAGATTTCGATCTAAAGTGATTTTTTGGTTTCGTCTTTAAAATTTATCATAATTTTTCAGACCGGAAGTTGCAGACAACACTTTATTTCCGAGGCAAATACGATACGATTACCAAAATAAATCATTAAAACAATACAGTTTTCATTTTCTGATTTTTCAAATAAAATAAATTAAGTTTTATATCTTATATATTGAGCAAATAAATTTTTAAAACCCTCAGAGAGCGAAAGAATTTTATTTGCTGCTGAATAGTGTCGCTGGATATTTGGAAGATGGCGGATTACGATGGTAAACAACTTGGTTGCTGACCAAAATATTGCTTTATTTTTCATACTGACAATAACTTTTCGAAGTCATGTTTAAGCTTCTCTGCAACAAGCATTCATTTTACACATAAAATTAAGTTTTAGATTACCAGACAACCAACAAAATATATTACTATTTGGTTTATTTTTTAACTTTGTCTTTGAAAAATAAATTTTAAAAACTGGACCTTCTTTTACTTTAGGGGCACCATTAATTTATAGTAATGGTACATTTATGGTAAGGTAAAACATAATGCTCTACGTTATGGTTAGGTTTTATGGATATTTCCTTATCTAGCCTTCAGAGCAGCCCAATAGAATGACTGAATTATTAGGGTTCTTTTCTCTCTTCTAAGTTCTAGTAGTAGTAGAGTAGTAGACTTTGAGATCATATGAACCAGATAGGTTTGAAAAATAACTGTACCCCACACAATTTTGTTGCATGGGGTATAATTTTTTTTACATGTCTGTCAGTCCTGTTCTTCACCTTCTTGTCATTGCAACTCCTCTGAAACCACACAACAGAATTTCATGAAACTTTGTAGTTAACATGGTTAATGAGGTCATAATATGTAGATGTGCATATCCACAAGATTTTTTTTCAGTTGACTTTTGTAGGAGTTCTGGGTCTTTGAACTTAGGAATTAACTTAGTTTTTTTTTTGCCCAGTGCCAATAGTGAGGGTATGTGAGCATGCTCACAAAGGTTCTTTAGTTCTTAATATGAGGCAGGTGCTACATGCACCTCTATATCTACAGGTTAAAATGCACTGTTTTCTTCTACCATTATGCCTTGGAAATACTTTTGCGCAGCAATGGCAGAGAGAAGTTAAAGTCTTGAACTGATAACAAATGGATAAGAAGAAGATAATTTTGATAGGCTATAGTGGGAAAAGACTATCAAAATACATTTGGGTTCTTCTTCAGATAAGACCAATTCGGCTGCACCCCCACCCACCTTAAATATATCTCTCAACTGTTGCCACCTACTTTACTATTTCCCAAACTTTTGAAAGACCTGCTAATTATTATTTCCCCTTTAAGCTATGCTTGCCTTTACTGAAAGCAAATAACCTACCATTCTTGATATTTTTGTTTATTTATATACATGTAGGGCCAAAAAATATATATGTCTGTTTACGGTTACCCGACTGACCCTACTTTTGAGCACAATCTCCAAGTCATTTTATTCGTCATAAAGTGTAAAATTAACTGGACTCATGTTTCAAGGGAAGTTAAAGTTGTCAGTAAAATAAATCAATTGCCTGATACATCTAAATGTTCACAATCATGATAATGACTGCTGTTTTAAGAAACTCACGACTCATGTGATGAAATAAACACTTTTCCACCATTTTTTTTTCAACCAATAACCAAAAGAAATAATGCAATCATTAGAAATACGGGTAAACTTGGTCCATGGACAACTCTGACAATGGCAAGACGCACCTATTTTTTTAATGACGTAACCTTAAACAAACATATATTTTTTTTTGGTCTAGTCATTAACTGATTGTTTATTCATTGGTATAGATTCAATGCTAGCTATATGCCCAGGGCCCAATTCAAAGGTATGGAATCCCATCTTCTGATAAGCCTGGCCAATACAGAGATATGGAATCGCACACATGTTCTGATTAGCCTGGCCAATACAGCGATATTGAATCCCATGTTTTGATAAGCCTGGCCAATACAGAGATATGGAATCACATGTGTTACATATATGATAAGCCTAGCCAATACAGATATACATTATATATGGAATCCTATGTCCTGATGAGCTGGGGCCAAGACAGAGATATTGAATTCCATTTTCCAGTGGTTCCCAAGGCTTTGTGAAATCAACTGGACATTTGGTCCAGTAAACCTTTCTTTTTAACTGGACCAGACTACTGTAATGCATATCACTTAACTGAACCAAACCAATTTTTACTGACCTTTGTCCAATGTCTGATGACCTTAGGAATGATTGATGTTCTGTTGAGCCTGGCCAATACGTATACAGAGATATGGAATTCCATGTTCTGATAAGCAGGGACCAATACAGAGATACTGAATCCCATGTTGGCCAATACAGAGATACTGAATCCCATGTTCTGATGAGCCTGTGCCTTTACAGAGATATTGAATCCTATGTTCTGATAAGGCGGGGCCTTTACAAATATATTGAATCCCATGTTCTGATAAGCAGGGGCGAATACAAAGATATTAATTCCCATGTTCTAATAAGCCGGGGCATTTACAGAGATATTGAATCCCATGTTCTGATAATCCAGGGCCAATACAGAGATCTATATTATATCCCATGTTCTGATAGGATGGGGCCTTTAAAGAGATATTGAATCCCATGTTCTAATAAGGCGGGGGCTTCAAAGAGATATTGAATGCCATGTTCTGATAAGCAGGGGCCAATACAGAGATATGGAATCCCATGTTCTGATAAGCCTGTGCCTTTACAGAGATATTGAATCCCATGTTCTGATAAGGCGGGGCTTTTACAGAGATATTGAATCCCATGTTCTGATAAGCAGGGTCCAATACAGAGATATGTAATCCCATGTTCTGATAAGCAGGGGCCAATACAGAGATATGGAATCCCGTGTTCTGATAAGCAGGGGCCAATACAGAGATATGGAATCCCATGTTCTGATAAGCCTGTGCCTTTACAGAGATATTGAATCCCATGTTCTGATAAGGCGGGGCTTTTACAGAGATATTGAAGCCCATGTTCTGATAAGCAGGGTCCAATACAGAGATATGGAATCCCATGTTCTGATAAGCAGGGGCCAATACAGAGATATGGAATCCCGTGTTCTGATAAGCAGGGGCCTTTAAAGAGATATTAAATCCCATGTTCTGATAAGCCGGGGCCTTTAAAGAGATATTGAATCCCATGTTCTAATAAGCCGGGCTTTTACAGAGATTTTGAATCCCATGTTCTGATAAGCCGGGGCCTTTAAAGAGATATTGAATCCTATGTTCTAATAAGCCGGGGCCTTTACAGAGATATTGAATCCCATGTTCTGATAAGCAGGGTCCAATACAGAGATATGGAATCCCATGTTCTGATAAGCAGGGGCCAATACAGAGATATGGAATCCCGTGTTCTGATAAGCAGGGGCCTTTAAAGAGATATTAAATCCCATGTTCTGATAAGCCGGGGCCTTTAAAGAGATATTGAATCCCATGTTCTAATAAGCCGGGCCTTTACAGAGATTTTGAATCCCATGTTCTGATAAGCCGGGGCCTTTAAAGAGATATTGAATCCTATGTTCTAATAAGCCGGGGCCTTTACAGAGATATTGAATCCCATGTTCTGATAAGCAGGGTCCAATACAGAGATATGGAATCCCGTGTTCTGATAAGCAGGGGCCTTTAAAGAGATATTAAATCCCATGTTCTGATAAGCCGGGGCCTTTAAAGAGATATTGAATCCCATGTTCTAATAAGCCGGGCCTTTACAGAGATTTTGAATCCCATGTTCTGATAAGCCGGGGCCTTTAAAGAGATATTGAATCCTATGTTCTAATAAGCCGGGGCCTTCACAGAGATATTGAATCCCATGTTCTGATAAGCAGGGTCCAATACAGAGATATGGAATCCCATGTTCTGATAAGCAGGGGCCAATACAGAGATATGGAATCCCGTGTTCTGATAAGCAGGGGCCTTTAAAGAGATATTAAATCCCATGTTCTGATAAGCCGGGGCCTTTAAAGAGATATTGAATCCCATGTTCTAATAAGCCGGGCCTTTACAGAGATTTTGAATCCCATGTTCTGATAAGCCGGGGCCTTTAAAGAGATATTGAATCCTATGTTCTAATAAGCCGGGGCCTTTACAGAGATTTTGAATCCCATGTTCTGATAAGCCGGGGCCTTTAAAGAGATATTGAATCCCTTGTTCTAATAAGCCGGGGCCTTTACAGAGATTTTGAATCACATGTTCTGATGACTGATGTTTTTTATCCTTTAGAAGGCAGAACAAGTTTGCAACAACATAACCTTTTATATCGCACACCAAAAATATTGTTTTGGTGAAATTTGGCATGTTTGTTGCAAAATTAGATAAAAATTATCTAGTACAAATGTACATTTGGTAAGGACAATGATCATGATGACATTACAATGAAGGAACTTGTATAGATACAAGTGCATTTATTTCGGAAAATGCTACTTTTATAAATTTATATAAAATGTTCTTGTTTTAAATATATATATATATATTTGTCTGTTCTATGGTCGGGTTGTTGTCTCTTTGACACATTCCCCATTTCCATTCTCAATTTTATATATAAATAACTTAAGCATGTTTAGACGGATCTTTAAAATGAATAAAAGCTGAAACACTGAAAACTTTTTTGACTGGAAAACTTTGTCCACTCATGTTCCGTACAGTAGTGACTACATGTATGAGGAGAATTGAACCTATGTAATTCAAACACCTTGTTAAAGAATCTACATTAATTTTATAAAATTAAATTATCTAGATTATCTCCCCTCACAAATTTCCAAAAGAAATTAAAAAAAAGAAGCTGGATTTGTGAAAACGTAACGATAAGAATAGGGTAATTAAGTCTCCCAAACGAAGTTTGGGAAGACTTATTGTTTTTGCTCAGTTCTTATTATTATTATTATTCTTCTTCCTCTTCCTCTTCCGCCGCTTTTAAATTTGAACTTGTCCGCACCCGTTCTCCAAAACCGCTTGTCAGATTAACTTAGGGTTTCACAGTATGTTAGACTAACATGTCTAGTGGTGCAATCAGGGTTTTGTTTGTGCAATGGGGTTTATAAAGGGGTTCTTTGAGGGGCAAAAAGAAAAGAGGGTTTTACTATAGAACCCTATGGGATTTTATTTTTTAAAATTTTCAAATGATTATAAATTGAAAACCGTTTGTGATAGACACAATCTTTTTAATTGAAAATGTTCTAAATGATAAAACCCATTAAATGAAATACAGGGTTAGTTCCCAGGGGTCATCCCCACC